CTATTTTACCTGAGCATACTATTGATGCGCTCAATCAATGTAAAGAAACCTTGGCTCAATTTCCATATTTTGAAGTTGTTTTATATTCTTACATGTTTGCCACTTACAACATGTATGAATGAAAGAACTTTTTCCAACTTGAGAAGGTTGAAAACATATTTACGAAGTACTACTTCCGAATCTCGGTTAAATGAGATTAGTTCTATTAAATATCCACAGAGATTTGGTTCCAACGACAAACGAAATTCTTGATGAATTGGCAACATTCCCACGAAAATTAAAAATCACATTATAATTATAGTATTTAATAAAATTTGTTGTATAATATTGTATTTGATAAGAAGTTTAAAAAACTTGTTTTTTAAATTATTTTCTAGTCAATATTTTATACACACTACTATTAGTATTTTCAATAAAAAAATTATATTCTACTTATATTGTATGAGAATTTAAGTTGTGACTAGTTTTTAAAGCAAATTTTATAAAAAAAATAATAGGCTTGTAATATCCATTAGCACAAATTAGTAAATAATAGTTAAAAATAGAAATATAATTATTATTAAATTATGAATTTAATAGAATAGCTAAAACATAAGACCCGGCCGAAGGCCCGGGAAAAGCAGGCCGAAGGCCAGGTATAGGGGGTTTGGAGGCGAAGCCCTCAAAAATCCCCCCTCCATAAGAAAATCCTGGATACGCCACTGGCAGCGTCTACATGAGCGGGAGGGGTAGGAACAGTTGCATCCTATTTTTTGAGAGGGATAGGGGATATGCTGCTTTAATGGGGGTAGGATAAATTTTTTTTTGGGGGGGGGGGGTTATCTATTAAATTTTGAGATGAAATAGGACAAAATTTATTGCTGTAAAAATTAATACTTTTATTATAGAATTATTATAATACAATTCATCGACCAAATCTATATATTGCAAACAATCATACACATTGTTTTCCAAATAAAACTTTCTGCTATCCTTTTAAATGTAATTTAAAAGGTTTCGATATTTCAGCAAGCTCATAATGCCATAATAATTAATTCATTGTAAATAATGGAGGTTTTAATTGAATTTATTATCTAAAAAATAAATTCTGTATATTCACAAAATTTCGATAGTTGGTAGTAGAGATAGATTAATTTAAGTTATCCTTGATAAATTCTCTGAAAAGAGTATCAATAAATTAAAAAGGTGAAAATAATAAAAGACAGACACAGCCGCCGAAGGCGGCGAAATTTTTTAGGATGTAGGCAAAGGTTTTTGAAGGGGGTAACGTAAGCATCTAGTTAAAATCCTGTCATGTAGACGCTGGCCACTAGCAATATGAAGGTATTAGATATTTTATGAAATTAAATTATAGAGATAAAATTATAGTTGATAATGAACATAATTTGGAAAATATTAATAGTATGTGTATGAATGAATTATGATCATGAAATCTGATATTGAAGTAATAATGAAATGGAACAATTATATCTTATTTAACTTGAACAAAATAATGAATCATTATGATTGCTGCTGACAATCAAAAATTGGTTGATGAATGAATTTACAGAAAATTATATGGAAATTGGTACAAACATAAATGTTCGTTTATACTCGTCGGATAAAATTGCAGAGAATAAAGTATATTCATAATACAATTATTTAAAATGAGAATGATAAAATTATGATGATTAAATGATTTGTTTTAAATTAAATTTGGGGAATAATTTTAGTAAATGTGAATTTGTAAATTTATTGATAATAATTTAAAAGTCTTTTGGATTTGGATGAAAATATGGTATAATCCATTGCTTATAGAAATTCGATTATTGATGGAAATTGATTATTCTCCATGAAATAAACATTATTCGAACAATTATATGGGAAAACATGGGATTGTTAATGATAATGTGACAATTATACGGAAATTGGTTATTTAGACATTGAAAAAAGATTACGGATAAAAGAACTTGTTCAATTGGGAAAATGGATACTGATAAAGATGCCTGGCTAATTAAGACATAAAGATATAAATATGTTGAGCTCTTAAATCACGTGACCTATGTAAAAACTTATGGGGTTTCTTGAGTCAGGTGTAGTCGTATTTGGGTAAAAATGATGACTTCTTGTACGATGTAGGGATATGGATTACCTCATTGGTCATCAAGGAAGATAGCGATCTTTTGGCCATCTCTGTGATAACAATTACTTCATGGGCCATCTAAGGATGATAGCGATCTCTTGGCCAGCTCTAGGATAACGGTGACCTAGTGCATCATTCAAGCACAATATGGACCAATCTATATTGAACTCGGCAGTGATAGTTTGTTGGGAGATTCATCAAGATTGATACTCCGGTGGGAAATCAAGCATACAATCATGATTGATACTCCGGTGGGAAATCAAGCATACAATGGCCTCGATAACGGTGCTCAGATGGGAGATCAATCAACAAGGAAAACCATATTGATATTCTAGATGAGATCAATCGGTAAGGGAAACGATTTTGATAGTCTAAGCGGGATAAATCGTACCAAGGCATTTAATGATACTCTCTTGATAGATCAAAATCTTAATTGGGAAGAGAAGAGTAGATGTTAAAAAAAGTAACATCTGATGGTAAAGAAAAATGGAGACTAAATATATGGATTTTTAGCAAAAACTTTAAGTCGTGGATGCTTCTAGGTCTAGGTTACCTTTCAATTAATGAATGCGATGTAGTAATTAAGAATTTATTATGTTTTATAATGACTATATATATATATTTATAATTAATATAATAATTTGTAAGGTTAACTACCTAACACCTAAAGCATCAATTATATTTTAGATATCCGATTTATAGTATGGGTATATTAATATGAATATTGCACGAATTATATTATGTGATATGTAAAACAATCCCATTTATTAAAATGATTTTAGCTGGGTTCATAATCATTAATCAACTAATTACTCATTTTTAAATTTAATTGACTATACCTCCTCCTAAAAAATTCTAAGATCTTAAATTCATATGAAACTACTAAACTAAGTATATTTAATTAGGACATCTACTTTTGAGATGAATGCTTTAAATTAAAGTAGGAATAGAAGCAACATTGATAATATTTTCAATAAAGAAAAGGAGGCAATGAAAGAGTTAGAGTTAAAGTAAATTTAATTAAAGGATCTTTTACTCCTTTTTATTAGATAATGAAGAAAAAATAAATATTTAATTTTGAGATAAATGCTTTAAATAGTAGAAATAAATAGATGTGACAATTTTTAGACAATGTAAGAAGGGGCAATGAAAAAGTTGGAGATGAACAAAGTATATTTAGTTAAAACATCTTTTACTTTATATATAAATCTTACATTAGATAATGAAGAAAGAAGATATATTTGGAAATGAATGCTCTAAATAATAGAGATAGAAGCAATATTAATATATATATATCGTTGATTTTAGACTAAAGAAGAGGAGGCAATCGCAATGAAAGAGTTAGAGTAAAGTAAATTTAATTAAAAGATCTTTTAATCATTTATTTTATGTTTACTAGATAATGAAAAGAAGAGATATATTTTGAGATAAATGCTTTAAATAATATAAACGAAAATAATATTGATGTGATAATACAAAAGAAAATGATGCGTTGAAAGAGTTGGAGTTGAACATAGTACATATAATATACAGTTATTCAGTTTCAAACTAAATAATAAAAGAAGAGTAATTGTAGATGAGAAACAGAAAGCAAAAATGTTATGAGAAAGAATTAAGTGAATATTTAAGATGAATACAAAATCTATTTTTGAGATATTTTTTGACATACTTTGTGATTAAGAAGTGTAACAATACCCGGATTTAGATAATTGAACATTCGTTACATCAGCTTAGCATTAAGCCTTCACAGGAAATTTTAATGTTATTTATTTTTGATGTTTTGGTCTTATGAAAGTAGATATGTTCAATATAGGCGTCAATCGATAGCTGATCAAAGTATTTTACCTAATCTATGATTTTCTTTTAAATTGAGGATCGTAATCATTTTGTTAAATATTCACTCGATCCTACTTAAAATATATAAATAAAATATTATTTTTTTCTAAAAAATCCATCTCCATCATATTTTAGCATCTTTTGTCATATTTTATATTCTCAGAAATTTTATCAAGACAACATTTACGAATTTAATTTGCAACCTACAAGTTTTATTTATTGATTTTAAAATAAAATAAATTATTTTTAAGTATTATCTTATGAATGTCTACTATACATCTAGATGATAATACACATACAGTTATTGAAGTGACAGATATAATGAGAGCTGCCTTTTACCTTTCCTCAGCTCCGTATAATAATAATAATGGAAATTATCATATCTTATAATAAATACTTCCTTCATTGTGTAAGAACAGTAACATATTAGCAGCAATAATTCACCCAAAATTTAAGCTTAATTGGTCTAATATCAATCTGCAGCAAAATTTGTTGGAAAAAGGGTAATTATTTATTTAGAAATTCTGCAGGATTATTCACATGCGGATATCTATTCTAATAATTGTATAGATAAAACTGATACTTTCTTTGAAAAATTTTTTTTGCAAAATGTATTTTCTCAATAATTATTATATTCAAATGATGATTTAATTAATATTTTTAAAACACAGTTATATATATTAAAAATGATATTCTAAGTATGTTCATAATGAAAGACGTGAATATTTGAATGATAATAATATATAATTTTTTTATTATATGGCTAATTTTGATTGTAGATAAATATATAGATATAATTATTTATTATAGTATTCCATTACAATAAATTTAAACTATATTTAATTAATTTTTATATTTGTAGATTTTGCATCGAGCATACATTTTCTTCAAAAATTTATAATATAAGAAAAGGATCGTTATCGAGATCCTTTTAAAAGATCGATTAATAAGCCTGATAAAACTCTTTAGGTATTAACAGATTGCATTTTTATTATTGTTTAACTTTATTTAAACACCACCTTTCCTTGTTCATTAAAATGTGATTATTTAATTTATGCCTCAAAGCAAGAGAAATTTAAATATTTTTCACGTTTTTCACTTTCACATAATTTAATTTGCATAATTTAATAAGTTTTAAATTATAATATTAGTCTACTACCTATGAGAATACCAAAACTTAGTGAATATAGAGAATTGAGGAAAGGTAATAAATTTACACTCCTATAGATTGTTTTAATTTATGCATGAGAATTACTTTTTTTTTGTAATAATAAACTAACTAATTAACCTTGTTTGTGTTTATGATTTTTATGCTTTCATATATTTTTATAAATAAGATGCAAAATATGATCATAGATTAGTTATATTTAATATATTAGATTGAATATTAATATACATTGCCAATTATACAAACAATTTATTATAATTTATATTTGTTTAATTAGTATAAGTATGTTATAATTGTTTGGGCATAAAGTATGTTTAATTAATTAAATTACTAATGTTAATTATTTATCAATGATTTTATTAAAAATTTTATAATCTTTTTAACAATGTTGCACCCTTGTTTAATTATAGAATGTACTAATTTCCCTAAATTTTAATAGTTTATAATAGTGGATTTCTCATAAGCATATCCAAGAATTTCTTATAGTGGGGGAACTTTATTAGGTGAATTTTTTTGTATTGGAAATCTTTAGGTCAACTTATTGTAGATCTTTGCCTATGTTATATTTTTATAAAATTTTGGGTTTTCCCTTTTTTATTTATAAAATGTTCTTTTTATTAAAAAAAATTGAACTATAGTTGTTATATTTACAAATGTTAACTTTTAATTTAAATGATTGTTTAAAGTGATATATTGTATTGGGGGAAGGGGAAAAATTTTCATTAGAATAAAATAACATTTATGAGAAAAGGCTAATTTCAAAAAGGAGGTGGGAGGGTATCTCACATTCCCATCCCATGGTTACGTGCCTGAGATCTATTTACCATTATTTTTGAAACATTTTCTTAAATATATTTTTTTTAAGATAAAAAAAAGATATTTTTATAACAATAACCAATTGTTTAGTGTTATTGAATGACTCAATTTGAGCCAATTTTTTAAAATGGTTAATTCAATATTTTATTCAGCAAAACATTATATAAGCCTAAAGATTTTGCTCATACATGGACTAATGGCTTAGACATCTATTAGCAAAATCTCGAAGCTTAGTTGATATTTTTTAAGCTAAAATAATGAGTTAGTTATTTTTTAAAATCGACTCAAATCAAGCTATCTAAAAACAGTACAATTGTCAAAGTATAATAAATACTTATAGTGTTTATAATATTTTAAATGGAAAATCTTGTGTATTATTTAAAAAAATTAAATTTGGAGGTTTATTGGATCCTAATTTTCTATCAGTACCAATCCAAATCCATATTTAACAACCTATCTGGGGTTTGTCTGGAATTATTTTTATATAAAAACTTTTAATAACCACTAGTCTCTCATTTATACATCAGAATATAATTCAATAAATTATTTAAAAAAAATCAAATGTATTGACTATATATTTTTAATATTTAATACTCTAATATATATCTACAATAACTATAAATTTGTTTTGCAATTAATTTAATAAATAATCTAAGATTTCTTTATAATAAAATTCTCTAGACATAATATAAATTTAAAGAAAAAACCTCACTTTGATTAGTATATTCCATTTACCCTCATTTTATCCACTCACCTGCATATTATATTTTTTATGTTTAAAATGGAGTATTTTCAAAATACCTACCTATTAGACGCGTTATACCAAATGCAATTTTGGTGTAAAATTTGTATTTTAAAATAAAAATATAATAAAATAAACGTAATAAATATCTAATAATATTTGGCTTTGGAAACGTTTTTTTATAATTACTTACATAGTTTAAATCAAATCAGATATAATGACATCCGATATTTTTTTTTATATTGTTTTTTTTTATCACAAAAATAAATTATCTTTATTCTCGTGATTTTAATAAGTAATCCGGGGTTTCTCTTTTTTAAAAAAAATAAAAAATTAATTTCATTTAAATTAAACAAAAAAATATAAAAAATAAAATATTTGAGCATTATCCACTACAGTCATAAAAAAAATTGTAAATTTTGTTAAAATTCATTATACTCCTCTCTGCGCATAAGTTTTACATGTTTTTTACAATTATTTAAAATTAAATGACGGATCATACGATGTTTTTTAATATATCTTATTAATTGCCAATCTTCGCTTTGATTTATTATTAGGGTTTTATCCTAAACTCCATTTGGATGACTTTATAGAAGAGCCAGATGGCTTATTTCAGTGTTATTAAATCGCTCAATTTGAGCCGATTTTTAAAATAGGCAATATTATATCCAAAAAAATATTTAGATGGCACGAAGGTTTGGACATCTATTGGCAAAATCTCTATATTTAGGAAACATTTTACTGGCTAAAATATTGAGTTAGCCGTTTTTAACAATCAATGAAAATGAAGCGATGTAACAACATAATTTCATAAATCTCTAGTTTTTTTTTCTTCGCTTCTTAAAAGGAAGTTAATTTTTTTTCTATTAAACGCAAAAAATCAATAATTCTCTTTTTATATGTATTTATTATAATGAGGTGAAAAAAAGAAGTTTTTATTAGTTTAATTTTTAAAGATTGAATTTCAAATTATAATCAACAAAACAAAACATAGTAATATAACTAATAAATATAAAATTATCAGTTTTTAAAAAAAAATAAAATATTATATTTGATTTAATCATTAATCATTTGTTAAAATAGAATTTTTAAAGTTACCTTTTTAAAACTTTATTTGATTTATATTAATTAATTATTATTAATAGAATATATTAGTACAGTATTGTTGAACGCCACTTAAAGTAGCGGGATGATAGCTATAAAAATTTTACACTACATTCCATTGACATAGCTAGGATTTAACTAGAGGTAGGGGGGGGGTTGCAAATTTTTTTCCCCTAAACCTCAATTTTCTCGGTCTTCTGTCGAATCCCACCTATAATAAATTCTGATTAGGTATTTTTGTTTAAAATATTTCTTATTTACCCATGATTAATTCCTATTTTATTTTTTGTTAACATATTTAATCTTTTATCTTCGCGAAGATGGTCGAAAGCTTGGTAAAATATCTGTGCCAATATTTCGTACCCTATTAGTGCTTATGAGTATTTAATCTGCATAGTAGCGAATATTAAAAAAAAATTGTTCAACATTTGAAAATTTTATAAATGTTTAGGCGGTGTCCTAGGTCGGCTAAATTTGGATACTTAATTGCTTTTTAGTATAGGCTAAAATTATTTGATTGACAAAACCCTATTTTGGTTTATTTTAAGTATTTGGTGACATTGCTTTTTTTCATATTTTATTCTAGTTTTTTTATTATGTTTTTTTTATCGTTTATTTAAAGTGTTTTTCCGATACCTAAAAGTAGGCTAATCTGCTATTAAGCATTAAACCGAACTAGGACACGGCTTTAATACTTAGTCAATATATTATTTTAATTCGTTTGGTATAGTTAGTTTATATATATAGTATAAAGGAAAAAATTATTAGCGAAATTTCAAAAAATTGGCTTCATATCTGACGCAAAAATTTGGAACTTGATTAGCATGAATTCCTTAATCAATTTTACCGACTAAAAAGATGAAATGGAATTATAAACACAATGAAAAACGATGACGTTACTCTTTAAGCGTGAAGTGAGCCAAGTTTTTGGAAAAAAACGAATTCTGAAATTTATACATAACCATTAAGTAATGTTTAATCAGTACATTTTTAGCAATGGTTTGAAGAAAAATAAGTTTATGACCAAAATTAGAGGAAAAAAAGTTGTATTCAGACAAAAGCGAAAAATATAGTTCCAAATCGTGGTTGCGTTGAAATTCGGTGCAATACTCATTAATTCCTCAATTGGTTGTGCGACCAATGACATTATGCCTTAAGTTTATAATCAATCACACTAGCATTCTGAAACAATACTTATATTATTAATTAAATAGTGCTGTGAACATATTCAAAAAATTCGAACACGTTTCAAAAAAAAGAAAGCGTTGAAATTGGTTCAAAAATTTTCGAAATAAATTTTTTTAGAAATTCATTTAATATTTAATTTAATATAAATTAATACCATATATTCTTTAACACAATATATTAACCATGTTTAAAATCAGGGTTTAACATTTGCTCAAAATTCAAAAATCTTCAAAGATTTTGCTCTTATGACGAGAAGAATCTTCAAATGGTCATTTAAAATTTTTTAAACCCTGTTTAAAATTAAAAGTTTTTAAGTAATAAAAAAAATTATTTTTATTATTAAAAAAAATTTCTTATTAATATTTTTTATATTCATGAATAAAAATAAGAAGATTTTCTAAAATTGAACGAACGTAAAAAAAACGTACGCGTTCGTCAGAAAAAAGGAACGCGTTCACATTAGAAGTTCGTCAAAAATAAAAAGAACGTCGTTCATCATTAGATTACTAGCACTATTGGCAAAATAAGAGAAAATTTACATCTTCTCATAAAAAAAATTATAGAAGCACTGAATATCTGGGTTGCACCAATAAATGCCTAATTATTACATCAATTTTATCAGCCACTAAGGCAGATTATAAGCAAAATAAAAGAAAATAGCGTCACGCCTCAAGCCGCATCTTAGTATCGGATTTTGAATCGCGATTCGAAAACCAATTATATCTAAATACATTAAAAGGAATCAAAAAAAATTAAAAATCGAATATTTAAATTTGAAAATTATATAACTTTTTTTTTAAAGTCACAAAGTTTCAATTTTTAGACATATAGTGATGAGAAAGATGCCAGCAAAATAAATTTATGATACTCTTAACCAGGCTAATTACATTGAAAAAGGTTGCTATGTTTTCAAAAAAAGACATTTGATACCTTAAGGCTATTAATTAAATTTCAAATTTAATTATGCATATTTATTTTTAAAAAAGTGTCGCGTTGTCGCTAAATCTATAAAAATAAGGTAACACGCTGCTTTAAACACAACATGCGTCTCTTTAAATTAGTACGGCTCCATTTAGCGGTTAAAAAACGATTAAATTAACATTTTTGCCAAAATGATATTGCATAAATCTCGAGATCGCCAATAGATGTCCTAACCTTTCTACGATCTTTGAGAAAAATCTCTAGG